CTCCCAAAGACAGATGGACTCTGGAAGGCTGGGGCAGAGTGGGAGCCCAAAGCACCTCCTGTCGAGTCAATTCCAATCCGTGGTGGTGGTGATTATGCACCACAGTCAAAACTGACTCACAGATGACCATCCAGTGGGTGTTCAGAGGCACCTGACTGCATGGGAGGAGACTTCCCAGGCTTCTCCTGCAGAGCAGCTGGTGGATCCAAACAATGTGCCTTTGGGATTGCAGAGTAGCTTCTCGACACTGGGCCACCTGAGCTCCCTCCAATTTGTGGTTACTGCATGTATATCAGCATAGAACAGAACTTCGTGGGGTTTTCAAAGCTGTTACTGGCCAGGCCTTTCTTCCATGGTGCCTGTCAGTGGGTTTGAACTCCCAGCCTTCAAGTTGAGTGCTGAGCTATTTCCATTACCCAGGATTCCTAATGGGGAGCCCAGGCCTGTGTTAAAGCCAACAGTGTTTGCCCTCCAGTCACCTAGCTCCCAGGAGCTGCGTGAGGGCAGCCTCCGAGCCAAACCCCAGAAAATCCCTGCTTTGTGAGGGGCGCCACTCGGGACAGGTTCATAAAACACGAAAAATCCCCCTTTCCTTTCACCTCCAAGGAGTTTAATCTCTCCTAATCAATTTAGCAGACTCGCTTGGTTGTAATCGGTAATGATTTGCATTTTTGAGCCTTTTTTATCCCTCTTTAAGGAAAGACACGACCTCCTCTCCTCGCTCTGGAAGGCCAGCGCAGGAGGAGTGGCGGCCGTGGCTTGCTCGTTATTGCTCACCCTGGCTCTGGGCCAGCGCCTGTCATCTGCTCTGCAAGGCCAGGACAGGGGTACACGGGTCACCCCACAGCTGCCCCTGCTTCATTCTGATCTGGGGACACTTCCTCCCGGCGGGTCCCTCCCAAGGTGCTTTCTTGACTCCGTCTGATGCATCCAGTCTTCCTTGTATCTTTCGTAATTGCGGGGCTCAGAGGTGTCCTCCTCCATGGCGTGTTCAGTGGAGTGGGCTGGCTCTGGAACTTCAGCTGCTGCTTGGTGGTGGCGAGGGCTGTCCTGAGTGTCTTCAGACTTCTCTCTCCTGGCCTGTCCTGGTCCCTCGGCAGCACAGCTCGGGGAGGGGGCTGTGAGAAGTGGTCCTGTCTGTCTCCTTCTCCAGGCCTCCTTACCTGGCTCATCCCCTGCTGTGGGCCGCTTGACTTGAACCAATTAGAACCTTCCAGAATCTTCAGGAGTATGTGTGGAGGGGGGTCTCTCTGCTCAGCCCCTGGTGCACCCACCTTTCCAGCTTCTTTGCTGCCTCCAGAGTTTACAGAAGGGGAATCAGAGGCTGTGGATTCCTCTCAGGAATCATCATCCCTGACCAACTTGAGCTCCGCCTCAGTTTCCCTTTCCTGGGGGCAGGAGGAAATGGCCCTGCGCCTATGCCTAGTGTCTCTGGAGGGGTGGGCCAGGCCAAGTTCCTCGCCACCTCCCCAGCCACAGTCCCCCAGCGCGGGAAGGGGCCCAGCCCGGCCTCCGGCCCTGGCTGGGGCGGCTGCGGTGTTACCATGGAGGTGGTCCAGGAAATGGAGCCAGCAGTGAAGAGGGAGATAGGGAGGGAGGCTGCGGGAAGTGGAAGGAAAGAGGGAAGAAAGGGAGCTTTTGATGCACATCATGTCTGCGGAATTGAGTATGACTAATTAATAGATTTTATTCTTAGTAATCTCTTAAGCATTCCATACGTTGGGCCCCACGCCTGAGCAGAGCTTACAAGAGGCCTCATTCGCAAAATGCAAATGACACGCCGGCCTGCTGCCTCCTCTCCTGCCTTTTTTTTTCTTTTTTTTCGGGGAAATTTAAAGGAAAATTGCCATGTAATAGAAAAGAGACTCCAATCACTACATCTAATTACCACGAAGGGTAAGCCACTTAACCAAAGAAGTGTCGTGGGCATTGTCCCCCCCCCCCCAACTTTAAACCGGCCTTAAATGCCACAAGATAGACTCACCAGGCTGGCTTCTGGCTGGGCGTGGACTTGCTGGCCCAGAGACACTGTCAGGACCCTGGGGGTGGATTTAGCGCCTTAGGCCCCACAAAGCATCTCTAGTCAGGGCAGCCGGCACCCAGAATGTTTTCCTCTCCAGTCTGGTTCTTGCTCATCTCAGAGAAGTTGGACCAGGAGGTGATCAGAGTGGACCTGGTTCTGGGTCCCTCCCTGGTTGGGGCACCTGTGACTTAACCAGCCATGGGGCTCACGCTCAGAAAGGACACTTAGAAGGTGTTGGGATGTAAAGGGGCAGAAAAGAGAAAGTCTGTTTGAGGAGTAGTTTCCTTGGTCTCTGGGTGGGTGGAGTGTCATTTGAAGTCTCAGGGTCCTGGCTAGGGGGGACCATCTGCCATCATCAGGGCAGGTCCTGGGAGCTGTGGCCCCTGGAAGACGGAGTGAGTCAGCTTGAACCCCATTAGTGCAAAGCTAGAGAGGGGGATGGTGAGTGCCCCAGGTCCCAGCCCTCCTGGGGTAGGTGCAGGACCCCTGTGGGCCTGGCATGCTCTGTGCCATGGTATGGGGGGGGCGCTTATCATGCGAGCCTGAGTATGGAGAGTTTGGGGGACACAGTGATGCTCAACCATGTCCTCTCTCCAGCACCAGTCCTGGCTGCCTTCCCTGTCCCCCCAGTCCCCAGCTATCTGCTACCTACTGACTTTACCTCTTGGCTGGGATGGAAAAGGAGACGGGGGGTGTCTAGAGGGAAGTCAGGCAGGGGCCAGGCATGTTGGCAGCACCATGTTACACATGTCACGACTTGGGAGGTCATCTTTCCAGAACGAAGGTGAGAGTGGGCTCTAAGGACGGGGATCTTGGACTTTCTTTGACCATCATCTCTCCTCCCAGAGTCCTCTGAGGGGCCAGGAATTGGCCTCGTCTGGGGTGCTTCGTCCAAGAGTGGGTTCCTGCAGCGAAGGCCTGGGGACCACTCTCCCCTGACCTGGTTTGCCTGAGAACGTAGTCAGGTGGACATAGGACAGGTGTGGCTGGAAGGAGAGGGCTGATGACGGGGTCTCCTGTCTGGTCTGGGGAGCAGTGGTGGCTGGCCCTACCCCTCCTTCCCATGCAGCCTCTTCACAAAGCACCCGCTGCCTCTTTTCATGTCGGGGAGGCGGTGGCCCTCGGACACGGCCGCAGCCCTGGAACCGCTGTGCAGCCACCGTGCCTGCCTTTGCCTTTTGTGAGAGTGGTAAGGCCTTTTGAAAACGCCCCACCAGGAGCCGACCCTTCTCATCTTCCTGCCCTCGGCACGCCGTCTCGCTCTTCTTTGACACGGCGTGTGCCTGGTGCAGGACAAGTGGCACGTTGACAGATGGTGACCTGTGTCCCCTGAGCGGCAGCATGCAGGAAGTATCAGACCCCCGGGCACCTCGCCTCTCTTCTTTCCAGCTCCGCTGTCATTATTTCATCATCGTTTTAATCTTACGGCTCGTCAGACTGTACTGTCAGTTGATAAATGGTGGCAACATTTATTCCAGGGGGAGGAAATAAAATCTTAACTCCTTTGAAGGTCTCGGTCACTATTCTTTCTGAGGCAGCTGTTTTCAGGAAGATGCCACTTCGAATCCTCTGTCTCTCTGACAGCACAGTCCCAGGGGAGTGGGCTCGGCTGAGTTTTCTGTGTTTTCTGGGGAGGCATCTGCTGGGGCTTTGCCACCAATGTTCCTGTCTTTTCCTGGGATTTGTTTGAGCATCCATGGAAACCATTAGGTCTCATCAACCGGTAGGAAAAACCAGTTCCTGCACCAATTACCTGCCCCAGTAGGAAAAACCAGTCCCTGCACCAATTACCTGTCCCGGGAGGAAGCACAGAACACACAGACGTGCTCAGAAATTAGCTTCTGAGGGGACTGCATCTGTGGGTGGGGAGAAGAGGGGAACAGTGGCAGCCACAGAAAGCTTTTCTTTGTACCACCAAGGAAAATGGCCCAGCTCTGGCCAACCTAAAATAGAACAGAACCAAGAATGTCCTTTGCCCAGCTCCCCCATAAACCTTCTGCCCAGATAGACACGCCTCAGCCTCAGGGAATAGCAATACCCTCTCCCAACACAACATGCCCCACTCCCAACACCATTCTAATTATGCAATTATTTCTAGGAGACAGCCACATTTTTGTGATTCTATTGTCTCAGGAAATGGCAAGGAAGGACCCAAGATGTACCATAAGGGCTGTACACTCTCTCTACTCTTCTGCATTTAGATATAGGACACAGAGACGGGGCGGCAGGTGGAGAGAGGTATGCCTCTGGGCTGCTGGGAAAGCAACAGCCCATCGGGGCTTCTGTGGTGTGTGGTGTGTGGAACTCAAGAGAGTTTTCAGTATGGAAAATAAAAAAAAATAAGTTGTTTTTAACTGACTACATAATTGTTCTGAGAATGCAGTGAAAGACGCGCTATTTTCTGCAAATCTGTAAGGGAAATGGCATGGAAGGAACGGAGAGAAAGATTTCAGGACAATATCTCCATAGCAAAGATCTTTTCTTCCTCCTTGCCTTTGTGAGCAGGCTGAAAACCTTCCGTCAGGAGCCGCCGGCGGCGAGGCAGCCGCGTGGGGGCCTTTCTCTGACGGCTCTTTTGTGCCAGCCCCAAACGCCGACATTTTACAGGTAGTATCCTTCCAGTTCAGGGAAAAAAATAATATAATATATATATATATATAAACCCAGCCCAACTCTTCCTTCCTACCATTTTATTTCCAGTCCTTCTCTCCTCGTCTGGCATCATTCCATATAAATTATGTCTTCAACAATGTCCAATCTCCCTCTTGGCTTCTAGTCTTTTGTTTTTGTAAAAAAAATTTTTCCCCCTTTGTGGTTTTCTGTAAAATCATCAACCCTCCCCAAACGTGGCTTTCAGCTGGGAAAGTCCTGCGGGGAGTTTCTTCGCCTCCTGGCTTTCTCGGCCAGCGGCCGGTGGGGCCAGGCTGCCAGGCCAGGGGTGGGCGCCAGGCACCGGGGTGTGGCCTGGATGGGGCGGGCATCAGGTGTAGGAATAGTCTCCATCGGGGATGCCCGCGTCCCGGTAGCCCCTGGTGGTGCCGTAGCCGATGGTGTGCGTGCCCCTGCAGAGGCTGTTGCCGTTGGAGGGGAAGATGGTGTGGACCACGTATTCTTCTTTGGCATGGTACGGGTTGATGGGCAGCATCTGCAGCCCGGGGCCGCGAATCTCCAGGATGGAGTTATCCTTCTTGGTCCCTGACTCCATATAGTCGTCCTTTTTCCGGCTGCTCCGGTTGTAGGCTCTTTCCCGGCTTAGCAGCTCGCCGGTCCTGTGCACATACCAACAGATGGCCCCCAGGACGAGGAAGAGGAAGACGAGGGCCACGGCGCCGCCGATGATGCCCGCCAGGGGCAGGCCCGCCATGGGGTCCATGTTGTGCTCCTGGTTGAACGTGGTGGTGGGGCCGTAGCTGTCGGCCGTCTCGGCCTTGGCGCACACGGGCGTCTCATCGGCCATGTAGGTGTTGCTGGTCTCCATGGTGACCATGCAGATGATATAGGTGGACTTGGGCTCCAGGGCCGTCAGCAGGTACTCCGTCTTGTCCCCCTGCACCAGGGTCTCTGTGATGGAGCCCACGGCCGGGCTGTGGCCCAGGCGGAGCCAGCTGAGCCGGAAGGAGGAGGCGGGCAGCGTGGCCTTCCAGGTGATGCGGATGGAGTCGGCGGTCAGCGGCTTCACGTGGATGACCAGGGCCTTGGCGCCGTCACCGGTGGCCATGGGGTAGTCGAGGCTGGAGTCGGGGAGGCGCAGGCCCGGCCGCTTGGCCTTGAGGGTGAACAGCGAGCCCTGGGGCGTGGTGGCCGAGGCGTGGTTGCTGGCCGTGGTGCGGGCCGCGGGGTTGGTGGCCGCGCCACCCTGCACCCCGGTCTCGAAGCACTCGTCCATCTCGCTGGTGATGTCCTTGATGGCCATGCCACGCACCTTCTCAGGGCCCTGGCACATGAGGCCGCGCACGTTGACCACGGCCGCCCGCGCCTTCACCCAGTCGCGGAGCCACATGAGGCTGCAGCCGCAGAACCAGGGGTTGTTCCTGAGCAGCAGCTGCGCCAGGTTCTCCAGGTCGTCGAAGAGGCCCCTGGGCAGCGTGGTGAGGTTGTTGTTGGACAGGTCCAGCCGCTCCAGCTCCCGCATCCTGGCCAGCGTGTTGGCGGGGATGTGGCTGATGGCGTTGTCCTGCAGGTAGAGCTTCTGCAGGTGGGCGCTGGGCAGGTTGAGGGGCGGCGCGGCCAGCGAGTTGCGCACCAGCGAGAGCTCGGTGAGGTTCTGCAGGCGGCTGAAGGTGTCGTCGGCAATGCGCTGGTTGGCCAGCAGGTTGCCGTCCAGGACCAGGCGCCGCAGGCTGTGCAGGCCCTTGAAGGCGTGCAGCGGGATGGTGGAGATGCGGTTGTCGTCCAGCCGCAGCTCCTCCAGCGTGTGCGGCAGCCCCGACGGGATGCTGCTCAGGTGGTTGCGGCTGAGGAAGAGCAGCTTGAGCTGGCGGCTGTCGGCGAAGGCGTCCTCCTCGATGCTGACGGTGGACACGGAGTTGTCGTCCAGGTGCAGCTTCTCCAGCAGCGGGATGCGGGCCAGCGAGTCCCGGGCGATGGTGCGCACGTTGTTGTCCTGCAGGTGCAGCTCGCGCAAGGAGCGCGGCAGGTTCACGGGGAACTCGTCCAGGTCGTTCTCGTACAGGTAGATGACCTGCACGTTGACCTTGGTCTTGAGGTCCTGGGGGATGCCGGCGTTGTTGATCTGGTTGTTCTGCAGGTACAGGGTGGTGGCGTCGTCGGGGATGTCGGCGGGGATGGAGGTCAGGCCCCGGTCGTTGCAGTAGATGAAGCCGTTGTCACAGCGGCACACGGAGGGGCACGTGGTGCTGTCGATGACCTCGGTCAGGAAGGCGATGAGGCCATAGCAGAGGAACAGCCAGTCCCGCAGGTCCATGGTGGCCGTGGTGATCACGACGGTGGCCGTGACGGTGGCGGCGGGCGAGGTGGTGGCGGTGGTGGCGGGGTGTGCCACCACCATGGTGGACGGCTGGGGGGGCCCGGTTCCCCCTCACCTGAGGCCTCCACACCTGCAAGGGCATGAGACACATGAGAGGGACATGGTGACAGGACATGCTCCTCCACCTCACGGGGGCCACTCATCTAACTGCCACCAGGAGGTCACCTGGTCCCTGCAGGGCAGGGGTCACAGCACAAGGCCCTTGAGCATCAGACCTTTTCGTTTAAGAGTCAGGTAACTGCTCTGGCTGGTGCGGAGTCTTTTTTTTTTAAATTGTCTTTTGTGTGTACCGTCAAATCGGATCTGACTGGTACAGGAGGAGATTGTTCCTCCTTCTCCAGCAGAGCATCTGGTGGATTCAAACCATGCACCTCTGGGATTGCAGTGCAGCTTCTTGCCACTAGGCCACCAGAGCTCCATTGTGAAGTCTTTTCAAGGGCAGAGACTTTGCCTGGTATGCAGCGTGAGCGCCTCGGGAGAGGTTAGCACAGCGAATGTTGGTTTCTTCTTTCAAGATTTCCCACTAAGTGCCTCTTTATAGCGGTAACTTAATGGTAAGGAATTGTGCTGCCAACCCAAAGGCCCATGATTCAAATTCACCAGCTGCTCTGCAGGAGAAAGATGGACAGTTTGCTCCTCTGCGACTTACTGCCCCTGAAAACCCACGGAGGGTCAGGTATGGGCTGGTTCTGAATGGATGGCACACAACAATACTGGAGACAGTGGGGGATTAGTGATGGAATTCTCCCTTCCAAGAAGATGTAGGTTCGACTCTCAGCCAATGCACCTCAAATGTAGTTCCCCTCAAGTCTGTCCCTGGAGGCTTACGTGTTGCTGATACTGAACGACATTCAGCAAAGTATCCAGATTAAGGTGGACTAGGAAGAAAGGCTTTGAAATCTACTTCCAAGCTCTACTGGCCACACAGTCCTGTAGACAGCTGACCACAGGGATGGTGCGGGACAGGGCAGTGTGTCAGTGCCCTGCGCTTGGGGTTGCTGAGACGGGGGCAGGGATAACCAGGCAGCAGCTGACAACACAGTCTGTGCTGGGCACGCTGGTCAGTGTGCGTGGAGTGGGCCGAGCCATGAGCTCCCGGAGTGGGGCCACACTGCGCGCCGCCTCTGGAGACACCCCAGCATCGCCTCCAGCGAGTAGCAGAGTACGGCGCTGCATCGTCTGCTGTTAAAACAATCTGTCCTGTTTGTCGCTCGTCCGCTCCAGAGAGAAGAGAATTGGGTGTCAACAGAATCGTCTGCGCGTGTGTTTACAGAACTCTCCTCTTTCTTAGGTGCCCTTCCTGGTCTGTGTTCTGTTTGGTGGGGGAATATTCCACACCCTCCTCCCTCTCCAAATCATGAAACTTGAGCCTAGTTGCAAAAAAGTGTATATGTGTTTATATATGTGTTTATATATGTGTTTATATATGTGTGTGTGTGTGTGTGTGTGTGTGTGTGTGTGTGTGTGTGTGTTCCTTGCACTTAGAGAAATGGAAGGAGTAAAAGGAGGAGGGTGTCCACGCTCTAAGGGAATTGTCTGCAAGGTGTAATTTCAGTTTTCACAAATGAAAAAATTGCAAAGTAGATTTTTTCATATTATTTTACCATTCATAATGGTAAAAAAAATCAATTAAAGAGAAATTAGCTTTCAACCTCAGTGGACAAGCGTCATTATGTAGCCAGCAAAGGTCTGCTGGGTGACTCTGGCTTCATAGGGCATTCAATGACAAGAACTCATGGCCTTCTGATGTCTGAGCTGAGACCCCAGTGTGGTGGGGCGGGGCAGAACTGCTGGTGAGGACCTCACACCTATGTCCCAGCCTCAGCAACCGACCACCTCCATTTCTAGATCATGGCAAACCCTTCTCTCTGCTCTGTTCCTCCCTCTGTCCCTGGACTGCTCTTGTCCATGAGGCAAACTGCTCTTCAATCCTGAGACCCAGCTCAAATATCTCCTCCTTTGCTCAGTAGAGGTCGATGTTGCACATGGAGCTTGTCTCATCCATCTGTTCAGTCCATCCATCCATCCATCCATCCATCCATCCATCCATCCGTCATTCCGTCCATCCGTCCATCCATACACCCATTCATCCCTCATCCATTCCCTTAATTATCTATTTACCAATCCATCATCATTCTTTTTCCACCTACTCACCCTTCTTTCCTTTCACCATTCCATCCATTTCTTCATCCATCCATCCACCCATCCATCATCCATCCATCCCTCCATCCATCCACCCATCCATCATCCATCCATCCATCCATCCATCCCTCCATCCATCCACCCATCCATCATCCACCCATCCATCCATCCACCCATCCATCCATCCATCCATCCATCCATCC